CCAAAGAACCACCTGTTTCCTACTTTACATGAAGATATGATCACATCAGGACTGAAGCTTGGTGTTTTTTTAATGCCAGTTGGGACCACAGGACCCACGGGAGTAAAAAAAAGAAGAAGATTAAATAACTGCTTTAAAAACGTGGTCCCAGCCACCATTGTGACTTTCCTGAACTACCTGGGGATGCTCCTTCTGGAAAAGTAGAGAGGGCAAAATAAAAATATAGCACACTGAGGTAAAAAAGAGACATGTGCTTTTTCTTTTGGATGTTTTACTCTTCCTAGAGAGGTTTTTATTTTATTCTTTCTTCCTCTGCTGACATTTGCTCAGTTTACATCTCTGAATTGAATGACCTTCAAGGCGAGGTAAATTTCAAATTCACAGCATGAGATTTAGCTGGTTCCGGAAGATTCCCAGCATGGCTGCACAGCAGGGAAAAGCTGTCTGATACATGTAGGGCAGGGGCTTTGTTGCTTTGCTCTGCAGTCCTGTAGTCCCTTTCACTGGAGTCATGTCCTTCCTTCTTCCTTTTAATAATCAATAATGTCTGGGGGTAAGGTATGAAAAAAGGAACCGGCATTTAGCCTTTAAAGCAGTGTTTCTCAGGCTTGCAACTTTAAAATGCGTGGATTTCAACTCTTAGAATTCCCCAGCCAGCATGAGAGAAACACTCTTTTAAATAATTACGTAATAAGCAAAGTGACTTTCCTCAACTATTTAGTTATTGAAGTTTAAATCCAGATATCTTTGCTGATATCACTACTGTATTTACCATGATGTCCTTTAAAAAAAAAGAAATTAAGGATTAAAAAAACAACATTCCATAATTTCTAGATTAAAACATTCCTATAACAAGCCCTTTAAATTTTCAATATATCCTGAAGAGTTTTCATTTTAATCTGTTATGAAATTGATATTGTCCTGCCAATCTAAATAAAATAATTATTTCTTTCTTTTTGAGCAACTGAATTTTGTTAGAGACTTTCTCATTAAGATTATCAATTTTTTTTTTAGTAAGACATTATCCAAATATTTCCACTGGTGGGCATTTTGTGTCTTTGTAAAGATAGATTATAATTTGCTGTAAAATAAATACACTACACAGTAGCTGGGTCACTTCAATAGACATTTGACTTTGTAATTAGGCTCTGTGATTTCAGTTGATGGGAACTGTAGTCCAACAGTATTGAAGGGGACAAGGGTAGAGAAGTCTTAGCTATAACTACATAAGCCATAATAGTTTTCTTCCAGTTTATATGGTACTACAAAACAAGCATGGCAGAAAAGATGCCCAAATTCCAGGCAAATGGGTTTTTCAGAAGCCTTTTTGCTGACTGTGGTTGGAAATAGGATGCTGGGGTAAATAGAACAACTTGCTGAGAAGTAGCTGGCGCAGTAGCAATGCCTGATTTGCCAGGTGCAGGAAGAAGGAAAAGAAACTATGTCATTGGGCCAGCTTCTGGATGCTATTGGGCATTCTTTAAGCAGACTTCAGGACATTTTTTTTCTTATTTATCAGACGAATCAGACTGAGCTTATTTATTAGAACTACACCCTGCCTTTATCAGCAGTGTACATATCACTCCCTCTCCACAACAACCTTGTAGAGCAGTGATGGCAAACCTTTTAGAGACCCAGTGCCCAAATTGCAACCCCAAACCCACTTATTTATCACCGGGTGCCAGGTGGGCGTGGCCGCGGTGGTCATGGCAGACTGGGTGGGCGGGGCCAGTCCCTCACCATCTCCAGGGCACGGCATGCGTGCCCACAGAGAGGGCTCGGAGTGCCGCTTCTGGCACACATGCCATAGGTTCGCCACCACTGTTGTAGAGTAAGTTGCGGTGGGGGAGAAAGACTGGCCCTAATTCAGCCAATGAGCTTCCATGGCTGAGCGAGGATTAGTACCTGGGTCTCCCTGCTTCTAGTGCAGGATCTTCCCCACTACACCTAATGGCTCCTGAGCAGAGAGGGAGGGACTGGGCCAAAATCAGCCAATGAGCTGCCTTGCGCACAGTTACTCATGCTCTTGTCACCTCCCGCTTGGACTACTGTAACGCTCTCTACATGGGGCTCCCCTTGAGGAGCACTCGGAGGCTCCAGCTAGTCCAAAATGCAGCCGTGCGGGCGGTGATGGGAGTGACTCGTCGCTCCCATGTAACGCCGCTGCTGCGCGAGCTGCACTGGCTGCCTGTGGCCTTCCGGGTGCGCTTCAAGGTGTTGACTATCATCTTTAAAGCGCACCATGGCATCGGACCTGGCTACCTCCGAGACCGCCTTCTGCCACAGATCACCTCTCACCGGCCGATACGCTCCCACAGANCAGAGCGGGTCTCCTCAGGGTGCCGTCAACCAGACAGTGCCGGTTGGCGACCCCCAGGGGGAGAGCCTTCTCTGTTGGAGCCCCCACCCTCTGGAACGAGCTGCCCCCAGAGATCCGGTTGATTCCGGATCTCCCCTCCTTCCGCCGCGCCCTCAAGACATGGTTGTTTCAGCAGGCAGGACTGGCCTAGGGACATTTTTAAATCGGTTTCTAATTAATTTTAAAATAAGAATAGGCCTATTGAATATATCTTTTAATTGATTTTAAATTTTGTAGATTTGTATCGATTGTTCTGTTTTAATTGGCTGTAAGCCGCCCTGAGTCCACTAGGAGAAGGGCGGGATATAAATGCAATAAACTTGAAACTTGAAACAGCTGAGGGGAGATTAGCATCTGGTTCTAACCCAGCACTTTCACTGCTACACCTGATTGACTCTTGGACTGAGAGGGAGGGACTAGCCCAAAGTCAGCCAATGAACTTCCATGGCTGAGAGGGGACTGGCATCTGAGTTTCTCTGCTTCTTGTCCAGCACCTTCCTCAATATAGCTGATGAAATTCCATCTCAGTCTAGCCAGTGGGCACTGTTATTATTTTTAATGGCAGTGCTTTGATATAATGAATCTTAAACAGCCGAGTTTTATGGCCTTCAATTTGCCCAATTGATCCCTTGAGTGCTCTGTTTGGTAGCAAGAAAGGTATCCTGGTTTAATAAATCAAGAGTTCCCATGACTCCACTGATGGATCAGACAGTCTGCTAAAGGGGGGGGGGGCGCAATTTGTTTTAAATGTATATCTATAAACATATTTTTATGACTGTAATCCACCATGGTAAGATGGTCGGCCAATAAATTTTATACATACATACATACATACATACATACATACATACATACATACATACATACATTTGTAATCCTATAATCAGCTTTGGTTGTTATCCTGGGGGCAAATAAGGAGCCCTTCAGAGAACTCCCTTTTAATTTCATCTCCACTTGTGGATTACAGCTCCTCATCTATCTGTAAAGCTATTTAATAAATAATGCAGTTGGATTTCCAACCAGGACTGGATGGTTTAGCAGCTGAATAGATAAACACTGCCAGAATATAGTTGATTGGTGTTGGCCTAGGAGTGTTTTCTAGACCTAGTGAGGTATTTATTATTCAGTAAGTCACAGCTTAACCACAAGGTATAAAATATTATTTTTTATTTGAACTTGTGGTTTTCTTCACAGATCCGCAGATGAAAAATGACTCTGAAGCAACCAAGACAAAACAATTGCATAAACAAAAGAAAAGGATAAAAGCCAGGACACGTCTTGATGAAAAAACAGTCGGTGGGTCATCTTTTTAAAAATATGAAGGCTAATTCATGATTTGAAGAAATAAGAATACACAGGGCTGCCCACGACGATGAAGAGTCAATATGGTGGCTGTGACTGGGCAAGCACAGCCCCACCACCCCTTTTTAATGTGTAGTGATGTTGTATATATAAAAAAGGACAAGGTTTTGATTGCAGTTGTGGCCACCATCTTGACTTTTTTGACCTCCCTGGTGGACACTCCTGATGTTGCAAGCTACACTTCATCCCCAGCATTCCCTTCTATTGATTTCTGTCTTTTGTTTCTTCTTAATTCTGCTTTGATTTCTTTTTAATCAGGCTTAGACTAGAAAAGAACATAGATAATTTCAAAAATGGAATTAAGAGCTTTCTGGATTTTTTTTTTTTTTACAACTGTCCTTCTCCTCTTATAAAACATGGCTTTGAAATCATGAAAAGATGAAGTTTTATTTTCAACAAAAGCTTTCTAGTATTAGGAAAAATTTCATTACAGGTAGTCCTCAATTTACAGTCTCAACTGAACCCAAAATTTCTGTTGCTAAGCAAGACAATTGGTAAGTGAGTTTTGCCCCATTTTATGATCCTTCTTGTCATGGTTGTTAAATGAATTACTCCAGTTGTTAAGTTACCAACATGGTTGTTACTGAATCTGGCTTCCCCACTGACTTTGGTTGTCAAACAGCCGCAAAAGGTGATCACATGACCACTGGACACTACAACCATCATAAATATGAACCAGTTGCCAAATGTCTGAATGTTGATCATCTAACCACGGGGATGCTATAATGGCTAAGTGTGAAAAACAATCATAACTCACTTTTTTTGGTGGTGTTATAACTTTGAATGGTCACTAAACAAATGATTGTAAGTCGAGGACTACCTGTATAGTAAGAATCTGGGCTAACAATTGCTGTGTTTGTATAATATGCACCTGAACCACAAGTGTCCTTAGCTTATACAATTGACATGACAATGGATTTCTTTTTCCATCAGTGCTTATTATTATATTCTCTTTATTTTCGTTGTGAGACACCCCGAGTTGTGAGGAGTTGGGCACCATATAAATGTAAAACAGAAATGAAGTGGAGAAAGCCTATTTGCAAACTACCTCTTCTGCCCTTCTCAGTGCATATTATGAATTTATTTTTTTCTCTCCCTTGTTTTGGTCCCTTGTCCTAATAAATGGGGATGCCAGGAAAACCCCACTTCTTGAAATAATGCTCGGGGTTCTCTCTGAACCCACCAATTCTTGCTTTCTGTGAAATGGGCCTCCTTCTGAATGGTGTGGTGTGGAAAGCCCTGTTGTAGAGTAGCAGCCTTCCACACACCACAAAAAGTCATGGGCATCTTTTTTCCTCCACTTCTACTTGCAGGGGAATGGACCTCTTGGTTCAATGTGGACCACCCTGGAGGCGAAGGAGATTTCGAGACGCTGGAGGCCATCCGATTCTACTACCCCGAGCGCATCTGTGCCCGTCCCTTCTCTATCCAAGCCCGCACCACTAAGTGGGAGTTGCCCAAGGAAGTGGGGGAAGTCGTGCGCTTCAGCCCCCAAGAAGGCTTCCACTGCCTCAACAAAGAGCAGCCCAGCAATAGGAGTTGCTCCAACTATCATGTCCGATTCCTCTGCCCTGTGGGTAAGTGTGAAATAACAATTTATCAATGGAACAACTTGCCTCCAGAAGTTGTGGGTGCTCCAACACTGGAAGTTTCTTCTTACTGGAAAACCATTTGTCTTAAACGGTGTAAGAAGTTGGTATAGGAAATGGTATAGGAACCTCCGAAAGTTGTGGGTGCTCCAATACTGGAGGTTTTTAAGAAGAGATTGGACAGCCGTTTGTCTGAAATGTTACAGGATTTCCTGCTGAAGCAGAGGGCTGGACTAGAAGACCTCCAAGGTCTCTTCCAAATCTTATTCTGTTATTTTGTTATTAAGGGTCTCCTGCTGGAGCAGGGGGTTAGGTCCCTTCTGTCATTCTGTCTGATTTTTATGGTCACGGCAACTCCAATGCTAAATGCCAAACCAAAGTGTTCATTTCTTTTACCAGTCTGGACTTTGGGCCTGTGAATCTGTACAGCAGCGGTTCTCAACCTATGGGTCGCGACCCCATTTGGGTTCGATCGACCATTTCACGGGGGTTGCCAAGCAAGGCTGTCCGCCATTTTTTTTGTCTGCCATTTTCCCCCCCTTTTCCGGCGGGTGCCTTACCTCCCTTGGGCTGGGCCAGCTGGTGGTCGGCCTGCTCCGTCTCTGCCGCTTGCCAGCTACGCCTCGGCCGGCGCAGGGGGCGGAACCACGCATGCGCGGCGCTCCCGGGCAGGGAAAGTCCTCAACTTACGACCGGTTGGGTAGTCCTCGACTTACGACCGGTTTAGTCCTCGACTTATGACCAGTTTAGTCCTCGACTTACGACTGGTTGGGGTCGCGGCATTAAAAAGGTTGAGAACCACTGCTGTACAGCCTGGATGACAGAAGGGAAAGGGCGATATGATTGAGACCTTTAAATATATTAAGGATGGGAATAAAGTTCTAGAAGGCAGTATTTTCAATATTAAGTAAAAATCAAGAACATGGGGCATAACTGACAGGAGGGAAGTTCAAAAGTAACATTAGAAAGTATTACTTCACAGGAAGCTTGGAACCAACTACTAGCAGAGATAGTGGGTCAGTCATCAGTAACTGAGTTTAAATATGCTTCAGATAAACGCATATCCATCATCTGACAATTAAGTCATTTTTTTTAAAAAACCCTTAAAGGAAGACTGGATGGACCCGTAGGTCTTTTTCTGCCATCAGTTTTGTATATTTCTGTCTTGGCTCCCTGCTCTGACTTATACTTCGCAGGTGCTCAAAAGGCCACATTGGGACAGTTATTCGTCCCCATTCTACATTGCAGGGTTGTTGTGAGAAGAAAAGAGAAAGACCTATGACTAAGAGAGCCTTCCGTCTCTGCCCACAATGAAGTTCCCTTCTCTTGCATTTAAGTCAGTGGTTCTCAACCTTTTTAATGCCGCGACCCCCAACCGGTCGTAAGTCGAGGACTAAACCGGTCGTAAGTCGAGGACTAAACCGGTCGTAAGTCGAGGACTACCCAACCGGTCATAAGTCGAGGACTTTCCCTGCCCAGGAGCGCCGCGCATGCGTGGTTCCGCCCACTGCGCCGGCCGAGGCGTAGCTGGCAAGCGGCAGAGACGGAGCAGGCCGACCACCAGCTGGCCCAGCCCAAGGGAGGTAAGGCACCCGCCAGAAAAGGGGGAAAAGGCGGACAAAAAAATGGCGGACAGCCTTGCTTGGCGACCCCCGTGAAATGGTCGATCGACCCCAAATGGGGTCGCGACCCATAGGTTGAGAACCGCTGATTTAAGTAGAAGCAACTCAGCTGTTATTGAAAATGCTCAGATTTTATCCAAATGTTTCCATTTATTATGCCAAATCTATTGAAGTAATCATGAACCTAGGGGCCCCATTTATACAATCCATCTGACCTGTTTGTTAAGTTAACTCTGTTTCTGGGTTCACGATATGCTGAATCACAAACTAATCCAATGTGGGGATACATGCAATGTGGTTGGCCACAAAAAAACAAATAAGCCTGTTGAAATTTAACAGTTTGGTACTATTGCCACTGCTGTAGTAAGTAGCTTGTATAAACTGAGGCAGGAAGTGAACTGCTGAGTAGAAAACTGAATATAAATTTCTTTAGTCATCATCTGACATTCTAATTACTGGTATACACAGTCAGTTGAAGCCCTTAGACTAGAGTAGGGGTGTCAAATTTCCCACGTCACGTGACGTGTTGTGACATATCACTTTTTCCCCATTGCCGGAGCTGGGGGGGGCGCAGTTTTGGCATGACGCATCCAGCCCACGGGCTGGCAGTTTGACACCCCTGGACTAGAGCAGTGTTTTTCAAACCTATCAACTTTAAGATGTGTGGACTTCAACTCCCAGAATTCTCTAGCTAGGTTGAGGGTCCAATGCAAATCCCTACGCTCAGACTAAATGGCATAAGTTTCTTTGAGTAGGCTGGATCTTACAGCATTCTCTCCTGGTGAGCTCTGCCCCTAGGGCAGTGGTTCTCAACCTTTTTAATGCCGCGACCCCAACCGGTCGTAAGTCGAGGACTAAACCGGTTGTAAGTCGAGGACTAAACTGGTCGTAAGTCAAGGACTACCCAACCGGTCGTAAGTCAAGGACTTTCCCTGTCCGGGAGCGCCACGCATGCGTGGTTCCGCCCCCTGCGCCGGCCGAGGCATAGCTGGCAAGTGGCAGAGATGGAGCAGGCCGACCACCAGCTGGCCCAGCCCAAGGGAGGTAAGGCACCCGCCGGAAAAGGGGAAAAAAATGGCGGACAAAAAAAATGGCGGACAGCCTTGCTTGGCGACCCCCATGAAATGGTTGATCAACCCCAAATGGGGTCCCGACCCACAGGTTGAGAACCACTGCCCTAGGGTAATACAGCTGCCTAACATGCAAGCTGCCCAGGTTCGAATCCCTGAAGGGTGTGACTAGCTGATGAGGGCAAAATGAGCCTGAAATAGCTATACTAGTCTCCCACTAACTCTTGGTCAGCCACAAAATTTTGAATTTATAGTGTTCACAGTATGTGAGGTCTGCCTGCAAAAGATGCTCATATATGCATATAAGGATATATGCAGTGTTATCTTCATTTTAGGTATCAAAAGGGTTTTGCGGCTCCCAGTGTTTTGTTTTTGTTGGGGAACGGGTCCAAGTGGCTCTTTGAGTGTTTTGGGTTGCCTACCCCTGCCCTAGACATAGTCTGGAGATCCCCAACATTTTGGGGATGAAGTTTAATTATCTTTCATGAAGAGTAGTATGAAAAATCTAGGCTTTCTTGAGCAGCCCAGGATATTGACAAGGCAACTGATGGGAGCCATTTAATTAGTCATGTTATTAGTTCCCCAAATTCTGGCGACTAGGGGGAGATCTGGAAGTACAGACATTTTTAAAAGCAGTTTTTGATCATTCCATTATCCCAAAGGTGTTTTTTCAAGAGGCAACTGGACTTTGTTTTTCTTTGAAGACGTTTCGCTTCTCATCCAAGAAGCTTCTTCAGCTCTGACTAGAATATGGTGGGGAATGGAAGGATTTATATTCCTTGCAGACTGCTGGTCATTTGCATTCTTTTAGAGAGTCGTTGGGACCATTTGGAGGTTCGACTGTGTCCTGAGTCACCTGAGTAGTGCAAATGGGTGTGGAGCTGCCTTGGTACTGCTGAAAGGACTGTGTGTGTGGAGCTGTGCTTCCTGCAGGATGTTTTCGGACCTGTGTCCCTTGAACACAGGCACAGGTGTTGGGGATGAGTCTGTGTTGTCTGCATCTCAAACTGAAGCTCAGATAGTTCCTGTAATCTGCAATTTTTGGAAATCTGTTCATACTTCTGGACCATTCAAAGGGGGTTCGTCTCAAAGTGCATGGCTAAATGTCTATGGAGATTCTCAGTCATCCAGGTCATGATTGTCCCAAAGGTGCTTTTTCAAGACTTTCTTGTTTTTCTTTGAAGATGTTTCGCTTCTCATCCAAGAAGCTTCTTCAACTCTGACTGGGACAACCATAACCTGGATGAATCTCCATAGACGATCGTTCCATTACCTACCAACATCCCACTTTTTCTTGGATCCATGATGTCAGCCAAGTCTACCTCCTTTCTAATGGTAGTTCCCCTTCCCCCCCAAAGTAAACAAAGACATATGGGTGAATACCTCTTAGTATTTTATTTGTACCCAAAGAAATATAACATAATCTAAGAAGAAAAGCCTTGGTCATCACTTGTAAAGAGTTTACTGCCCAAAACATCACGGTTTTAGACACAATTCACTTTCTGAGTTTCTTTTCCCCTTAATTTGTTCTGCCTGTGCAGATCCTGTGCAGAAGCCAGGATGGTCAAAGTGGTCTCCCTGGAGTGCCTGTTCCCAAACAGCATGTGGCCTCAGCGGCATCCAAACCAGACACCGGACCTGTCTGAAGAAGTCTGCACCAGTATCGGGACAGCTGTCAAAATGCCCTGGGAAATCCATGGAACGTCGGTCCTGCAGATCTGAACCCTGCCAAGGTTTGTTTTACCTTCAATCTATTTTAATTTCATATTGGGGTCGGTGTGTGTGGGGGGAACATGAGGATCTGAGGTGACAGTTAAGATATTTTGAATCATTTTTGACAAGGAATTCGTACAAAGTTTGTATAGTCTCTCTTATCACGTGAAGTATTAATACCACTTTATAATGCCTTGGTAAGGCCACACTTCGAATACTGCATCCAGTTTTGGTCACCGCGATGTAAAAAAGATGTTGAGACTCTAGAAAGAGTACAGAGAAGAGCAACAAAGATGATTAGGGGACTGGAGGCCAAAGCATATAAGGAAAGGCTGCTGGAATTGGGTATGTCTAGTTTAATGAAGAGAAGGACGAGGGGGGACATGATAGCAGTGTTCCAATATCTCAGGGGCTGCTACAAAGAAGAGGGAATCAAGCTATTCTCCAAAGCACCTGAAGGCAGGACAAGAAGCAACGGATGGAAACTAATCAAGGAGAGAAGCAACCTAGAACTAAGGAGAAACTTCCTGACAGTTAGAACAATTAACCAGTGGAACAACCTGCCTCCAGAAGTGGTGAATGCTCCAACACTGGAAGTTTTTAAGAAGAGACTGGACAGCCATTTGTCCGAAATGGTATAGGGTTTCCTGCCTGAGCAGGGGGTTGGACTAGATGACCTCCAAGGTCCCTTCCAATTTTTATTTTTATTTTTTATTATTATTATTATTATTATTATTATTATTATTATTATTATTATTATTATTATTATTATTACCAAAATGGAGGAATATTTTATTAAAGACTCTTCCCACCCCTCATTTTTATTTCACCCCCTGACATTTCCCCAACCACACCCTATCTTTGAATTCTAATACTTTTTTTGGTACCTTCAGGTCAGTTTGGCGACTGCCTGGACAAGTCCCTGCAGTTTTCTTGGCAAGATGTTGGAAGTAGTTTGCCATTGTCTCGTTGCTAAGGCTGGCCCAAGGTCACCCAGCTGGCTTTGGGCCTAGGGCAGGACTAGAATTCACAGTCTCCAGGTTTCTAGTCTGATGCCTTAACTGACACACCAAACTGGCTCTCGAGGTCCGAAATGCAATCTAGATATTTTTCTCTGTGAAACAACCAGTGACATTTTTCAAGACAGGGGAACTCTCTACTTGTGAACATAGCTTTACCAAGCCCATGCCTGGGGTCACGACATCACCTGCAAGGAATGTTAGCAATGGCCTTGCGGTCTCCAAAGGGCCAGAGAGCTTCTGTTTTTATGGGCAAAGCAATTCCTTTTTAATTAACATTATCCCTGCCAAGGTTTTCTGCCAAGTACATTTTTGGGCAAGCATTAAATGTTTTTGTCCAGAAGATCTGACACCTGATCTCTTGTTCTGATGGGGCAAAGAGGTGAATTTGACCCTAAGTACACACACATCTATCAACTAAATTCTTTGTCAAAAAATGATCCAAAATATCAGCCAGGCACAGTGTGTTTTCTTGAGGTTGGTGATGGGAATTCCAGGGATGGCAGTTGACCTGTGATGCCCAGCTAGGGGTTCCAAGTGAGAAAAGCATGTGCCACTAACAATAAAAAACGGATCAAATAAAGTTTTTTCTGATTGCTGCCCTCTTATGATTTGCTACTCAGTCTTTCTTCCTTCTGAACCTCTGGGTCAATCGGTTTAATCCTGCCATTGTATTTATTGTATTTATTAAATTTTTATCCCACCTTTATTACTTTATCAACTTTAATTTGCTCAAGACAGCAAACATACCTACTTCTTCCTTCTTGTTCCCCCACGACAACCCTGTGAGGTGGGTTGGGCTAAGAGTGACTGGCCAAAATCCTGCTATACAGGTAGCCCTCAACTTATGACCACAATTGAGCCCAACATTTCTGTTGCTCAGTGAGACAGTTCTTAAGTAGGTTTGGCCCCATTTTACGACCTTTCTTGCCACAGTTGTTAAGTGAATGATTGCAGCTATTAACTTAGTAACGCGGTTGTTAAGTGAATCTGGCTTTCCCTTTGGCTTTGCTTGTCAGAAGGTTGCAAAAGGTAGTCAAATGACCCAGGGACACTGCAACCGTCATAAATATGAATCAGTTGCCAAGCTTCTGAATTTTGATCATGTGACCACCGGGATGCTGCAACGGTCATGTGAAAAACGGTTATAACTCCCTTTTTTAGTGCTGTTGTAACTTTGAACAGTCACTAAATGCACTATTATAAGTCAAGAACTATATGCATTTGTGTAATGCAGCCAGTATGGAATTGCATTTGGAACACAGCGGCTGTGAAAGTTGGACCATAAGAAAGGCTGAGCGCCAAAGAATTGAGGCCTTTGAACTATGGTGCTGGAGAAGACTCCTGCGAGTCCCCCAGACTGCAAGGCAATCAAACCGGTCAGCCCTAGAGGAGATCAACCCTGACTGCTCTTTAGAAGGCCAGATCCTGAAGTTGAAACTCAAATACTTTGGCCACCTAATGAGAAGGAAGGACTCACTGGAGAAGAGCCTAATGCTGGGAAAGATGGAGGGCAAAAGAAGAAGGGGACGACAGAGAATGAGGTGGCTGGATGAAGTCACTGAAGCAGTAGGCGTGAGCTTAAATGGACTCCAGAAGATGGTAGAGGACAGGGAGGCCTGGAGGAACGTTGTCCATGGGGTCGCGATGGGTCAGACACGACTTCGCAACTAACAACAACAACAACAACATTGCAGAAAGAGAGCTGTGTTAGTCTTTGGTAACCAAAATGAAGGAGTAGTTATACAGCATATGCTTTTTAATAAAATTTGTTGAGCAGAAAAGGAGCTACTAAACTAGACCTTGATTTTAGTTGATTTGAGGCCAGTCACTCTCTCTGTAAGTTATCTACTTCATTGGATTAATTTAATTAATTAATTTCACACACATGGATTATTATTTTTTTTTGCACAAGTCATAGAATACATTCATAAGGAAAAAAGAAACCTGAAGTGTTTGTGGCTTGGGAGCAGAGGCTGGAGAGGAAGGAAAAGAAAAACGGGACCGTCGTCAACGGTTCCAAAAGAGCTTTGCAATGCAAGACAGGGCAGGGTGCCCAAAGCCTCTTTAATGTTCGTGCTTTAAGAGGCGAAATGTTTCTTGTGCCAAGAGATCTGACCTTCCAAAGTAATCTTCACATCCTTCCTTGAAGTTGGGACTAAAATCTGAAGAACATCAATATAATATGCATTCACAAAATTTATAATAAAAATGTTTTTTTAGTGAAGTACATGTATACACAAAAGTGGCAAGTTATTATATGAACACACCTCAACTAAAACTCTTTCATGGGACTTCTAAACAAACGGGGACAAAGGTGACCGCCAAGTTTTCTTGATCACAGATTTTGAAGCACAATCGTATGCATGTCTCCACAGGCACACAAGCTGTTGATTGCCAACAGAAGAGACATTTGTAGCACATGGTTGAACTGTGGGGTCCTTGGTGCTATCTGAGTTGAGTTGTTTCTTGAAGAGGTTTCATTACCCAACTAGGTAACATCATCACTGCTACCACTGATGATGTTACCTAGTTGGGTAATGAAACCTCTGCAACAAAACAACCCAGCTCAGAGAGCACCAAAGCTATTGCTTTCCAGAGGACTCAGTCCAAATAAAAATGTGTAGGGCTGATGTCACGTGTGTCAATTTCAGAAAACTTTGGACAGGTTGTTCCATGAAGGCAAATGCACAATTGATTATTAATAACAGTGGCTTCTCTCACCCTCCTCAGAACTCAAATGGAGCCAATGGGGAGCCTGGAGTCCTTGCTCAAAAACGTGCGGCAGTGGCGGGAAGCAAGTACGTCGTAGAAGCTGTCAAAAAACTAAGCACTCACATTGTGTGGGGCGTCCCCAGGAGGTGCAGATATGCTCCAACATACCTTGTCCAGGTAATGAACCTCTCTGAATGTATTTAAGCTTTATTCAAAGGTTATGTGACTCGTATGCATATTTCTCTGGCCCCCACTGTCCTCACCACAAATTCTAAAAGGCAGTTTCTACACTTGATTTAGAATTTGCAGGATGAATACCAAAGAAGGAGAGACACCAAGACTTTAATAAATCTTAGAAAAGGTTTATTAAGAAATGGCTCCTAAATACTTACAATGTCAGGAGGATACCAGCCCAATTAGCCAGAGGAGTCCTAACAGCAGGGAAGGTTCACGTTTCGGAAGTCAATTCACAAAGAAGCTGGGGAAAAGGGGCAAATCTTATAGGCTTTTTCCCCACTCCCCCACCTTTCGGAATCCTCACCTTGGTTCCGGGATAATTAGCAAGGGGGAATCAATGTTTGTTTTTATGCTCACTGCAAAGGAAGAGATTACAAGCATACATTAGGGAATACACATTGAAAGGCTTGCCTTGGTGCCAGCAAGCTTAAGTGCTCCTGGTTACTCTTAGGATACAAAAGAGGACCATGGCAATTTCAGACAGCAAGCACAAGGTAAGCAGGGGTGCTAATTAGCTAATCGTGATTGCAGAGCTGAGCTGATTTGCACCTTTCAGGGACGTGCAGCTTGTACACAAAGAAAAGCAGTTTAGGAAGAGATAAGCTATCTTTCCTCTGGAAGGGAAGAAATTCTCCCTGAAAGGGAGAAGAAAATTCGAAGAATATAATTTTTAGGCAATCAGGTGCAGGACAGGCAGCTTTCGGCCTTGGTTGAAGAAAAGTGCCCCGATATTCTCTAATTTTGCCACATCGTCCATGCTTCTTGGAAGCCCTTTTCTTGAGATCGCGGCATCTCTCATAAAAAGCTACCAGACCTCAATTCCTAGTTATAAGTCCCCATTTGCTCTTCCCCTTCTCTAACAAGCCTTGACTCTTAATGCACCCTCTTGGTTCTCTCTTCTTAGCTTGCCAGCTCAGCTGCGCCACTGGCATCCCCAACAAAGACTGTACTGGCTGCATTTGTCCCAACCACACACTCTTGGGCAATGTACGGAGGGCCGATGGGATGCCCCTTGCCAATGCCCAGATATCCCTCGCAGACCAGCCTCTAGACCCCTTGGCCCAAAGCAATCGTTGGGGCCAGTTCACCATCCGTGGCATCTGTGTTGGCAATAGCACCAACGTCAGTGCTAAGCTTGAGCGCTTTGCACCAGGTAGTGCCTCATCTGTCGTCAATGGCTCTGGGACCTCTTTGGTGGAGATCATACTCCAGAGACTGGGTAAGTGCAATGTGGAGCCAGGCTGGAGTGGGAAAAATAGGGAGAGATCTCAGCTTGCGAGGAAGAAATCTCCAGAAAGCACCATGAGCGGTTTTATTTGCAGGAATAGTGAGTCTTGGGTGGTATTTAATGTGGCTGCCAATCTTAAAAGCTGCCAACATTAAAGCCCAATGGATAGAGAATGACAGGCTCCCTGAGAAGCTGATAAAATTGATTGATTGGGGCTCCCGATCAAGCAAAAAGGCATCCCTTTTTTTGCAATGTGGCGTTCTTGGAACATGCACGGGATCTTCCAACTTGTGTTTTAACCCCAGTATGAAGATGCCCTGGAGACCTCTTTTTTCGGCCTTCTACCCATGTCATTGCCTTCATCTCATCCTTAACCCATGATGGAGATAGGCTTAACTCATTTTGGTCATTCCAACCGTAAAGGAGTATATTCAGGAAACTTAAAGACGGCAGGACAAACATGTCATGGAATAACAGAAATAACAGTGTTGGAAGGCAACTTGGAAGTCTTCTAATAGTCCAACCCCCGACTCAAGCAGACGACCCTATATCATTTCAGACAAATGGTTGTCAAGTCCCTTCTTAAAAACCTCCAGTGTTGGAGCACCCACAACTTCTGGAGGCAGGTTGTTCCACTGATGGATTGTTCTAACAGTCAGGAAATTTCCCCTTAGTTCTAGGTTCTCTCCTTGATTAGTTTCCATTCATTGCTTCTTGTTCTGCCTTCAGATGCTTTGGAATACGTTGGTCACCATGGAATGGGGCTGTGTGCATCCCTTCCTCTGGGGTCCTCTCTTTCCTTTCTTCAACACAGTCACTGGGTGCTTTGTACCTTCAGTTCCAGACAGCCAGTGGATGGGGAGAGGAACTTCATGGCAAGATAAGCTGCCCCTCAGCTGCCTAGTAGCTTGTTTTGAGATGGGACTTGATGGGCCATCAAGTGATGCACCCTTTCTCAAAACAGGTCACTGGACAACTGGTGGATGGCTTGTTCTGAATGATTTAGTTGACTTTTCAAAGGGCTATAGTACCAGGGGTAGGCAACCTTGGCTCTTTTATGACTCGTGGACTTCAACTCCCAGAATTCCCGAGCCAGCATGGCTGGCTCAGGAATTCTGGGAATTGAAGTCCACGAGTCATAAAAGAGCCAAGGTTGCCTACTGGCTCGGGAATTCTGGGAGTTGAAGTCCACGAGTCATAAAAGAGCCATTGGAGTTTTCAAGAAGAGATTGGACAGCCATTTGTCTGGAATGGTATAGGGCAGGGGTAGGCAACCTTGGCTGGCTCAGGAATTCTGGGAGTTGAAGTCCACGAGTCATAAAAGAGCCAAGGTTGCCTACCTCTCTGCTATACCTAAACAAGCCACCAGGCCACAGGTGGGAGGCGAGGGCTATGGGATAAAAAAACACTTTATCAGACATCCCCAACTTCCATCCATTTGCCATCAGCTGTCATTTTTCAATCAGGACAGCCAATGAGGCTGCCAGGCATGGTAGGAGCATGCAGTAATTTGGTTTCCTTGCTTTGCTGGACAGGCCCTATATAGGTAATCCTCGACTTACAACAGTTCCTTTAATGAATGTTCGAAGTTACAAAGGCACTGAAAAAAGTGACTTATGACTGTTTTCCACGCTTATGACAGTTGCAGGATCCCCCTGGTCTCATGATCAAAATGTAGACACTTGGCAACTCTCTCATATTTATGACAGTTGCAATATCCCAGGATCATTTGATCACTTTTTGTGACTTTCTGACCAGCAAAGTCAATGGGGGAGCCAGATTCAGTTAACAACCATGTTACTTACTTAACAACTGCAGTGATTCACTTAACAACTGTGGCAAGAAAGGTCGTAAAATGGGGCAAAATTCATGTAGCAACTATCTTGCTTAGCAATGGAAATTTGGGGCTCAATTGTAGTCATAAGTCGAGGACTATCTGATCTGCAGAGTGAGGAAGGCCCCCCAATAAAATATGGGAAGTTTGCTTTACTGTGCAGCTCCCACCCACCCTATAGATTAGCTGGTTCCAGATTTTGATGAAGAGCCAAACTCTTTGTCTAGTTCAGGGGTAGGCAACCTTGGCTCTTTTATGACTTGTGGACTTCAACTCCCAGAATTCCTGAGCCAGCCATGCTGAGGGGAAAGGGAAAGGTTTCCATGCTGAGCCATGCTGGCTCAGGAATTCTGGGAGTTGAAGTCCACGAGTCATAAAAGAGCCAAGGTTGCCTACCCCTGGTCTAGTTAATGGTTAGACAAGGGTCTAATTAATGGTTATTTATTTGACTTTTTTCATCTTATCTTTATTATGATTTATAAATCATTCAAGGCAGCAAACATGCCTAATACTCCTTTCTCCTCCTATTTTCTCCATAACAACAACCCTGTGAGTTGGGCTGGGCTGGGCTGAGAGAGAGTGACTGGCCCAAAGTCACTCAGTTGGTTTTTCATGTCTAAGGCAGGACTAGAACTCATGGTCTCCTGGTTCCTAGGCCAGTACCTTAACCACTAATATTCTCTGTATACAAGAAATCAAGGCACCACAAACTGGCAGAAAACTGGAATAGAGGCTATAGAGGGAACCCTGGGACTGGCACTGAGGGCAGCAGAGGAGATGTTCAGAGTTGGGCAGAGTTGGGCATTTCAATTGAACTCTGGGTCAAAGACACTGAACCTGGCCACTGAATTAACCCATTTATTTTTTCAATAGATTGGCTGGCGAGGCAGCCCAAAAACTGGCTGCGTTTGTACTTGGCCAGAAAAAATAACAATCCCCAACCTTGTGAAACAGTATACGCCCGTGACAGCATCTGCTAGATGTAAACTTTGTTGTGTAACGCTTGAAAGTCATGAAAACTGACAAATTACACATGGTTTAATTCTGGAATTAATGTTGGAAAATGTCCTAGCTAAATTGGAAGTCGGCTAGCCAATTTGGAGGCATAGCAAATCCATAAAACGCTGAAGGAAGGCAAAGAGAAAACTCATCATCCATAAATTGCCTTGTTTTGGTGAAACAAATTTACTTTTATCAGATTAATGTTTTTGTTTGTCCCTTCCTTTCCATCTTCCTTTTTTCCCTTCCCTTGTCTTTCTTCTTCCCTTCCCTTCTGTCTTCCTTCTTCCTTTCCCTTCCCTTTCCTCTTACATTTCCTCTTTCCTTCCCTTCTTCCCTTCTTCTCTTCCCTTTTTTCTTCCCTTCTGTCTTCCTTCTTCCTTTCCCTTCCCTTTCCTCTTCCTTTCCCTTCTTCCTTCTTCTCTTCTCTTCCCCTCCCTTCTGTCTTCCTTCTTCCTTTCCCTTCCCTTTCCTCTTCCATTCCCTTCTTCCCTTCTTCCTTCTCTTCCCTTCCCTTTTTTCTTCCCTTCAATCCACGGCAGAACAACTTTACATGGTGACCAGTCCTGACTCAAAAGCGAGGATGGTTGGAGAAAAAGTGAGGTTCTGCTGCAGTGCCCAAGGCACCCCTGAACCCCAGAAATATTACTGGTGAGTCATGCTGAAGGTGGAATTCAGGAGAGCAGAGAAAAACTCACACTAGAACTTGTGTCTGACTCATTCTCTTCGAATGAAAAGCTGAAGTGATGGAGGGAACAAAAAAAGGGGGGTGGTGGTCCTCAACCTCTTTCTCTTGCTACTATCATTTTTGCCTTAAGAGTCCTCTCTTTGTGGGAGGAAGTTGTAATCACAACCTTGGAACTTGCATAACTTGCTCTCGTTTTTAAACATGAATTTGCTGTGTATTATCCAGCAATACTCTCAACAGACATCCCTGTATGATAAGTCAGGGCTATGCACCATTTTGCAGATGAGAAGACTGAGGCTGGAGCTGCAGGTACAAACAGGAAAAACTGCCTCCATAACAGGTGGAAGGGAAGTTAGAGTTTTCTGCATCTCTTTGCTGCCATCTAGTGATCAACTGTTTTTTTGCAGCGTAGATTTCAGGTTGAGGAAGATTAGCAGATTTAACATTTCTTGGGAAAATCTAAATTCAAATTTATTTCTCTTTCAAATTTAAACTTGCCATTCTTAATTGAGACATTTGAGAGCATCGGATTAAAAAACAAGCAAACAGAGTAAGATTGGGTCAATTAAAACACAAGCCCCCAAAAGAACTATTAGAAAATAATGTCAGTCTATCCTGACACCTGTCATTCACCTGAAATCCTCTAAAACACAGGTGTCAAACTCGCTGCGTCACATGATGTGTTGCGACATATCGTAACTTTTTTTGCATTGCTGGATCTGGGGTGGGCGCAGCCTCCGTATGATGCAAACGGCCCGCGGGCCGGCAGTTTGACACCCCTGCTCTAAAACAACTTTTCAGTAGATGCCAGACGACATTTGTGGAAAGTTGGGATATCCTGATCAATCATTACATTTGCTATCTCTGGCCTCAGCCATTTTTGAGTCCAATAAAGGCTGCCAGTAAGAACTGCCTTTCTTTTCCCCAAAATCCAGCTAGGTTTTATAAAGCCAAATACATTAAACTATTCCATATATACTTCTTTGAAAAACAAGCCTATAAAAAGTTGAGATTATACAACTGGGGAACGTGGATCAAAGCATTTCTGAAAATGTCACCAAAATATCCCTTGTAAAAAATAAAGGAACTCTTTATGTGTGTGTTTGTGGATACAGATGCGCGCGCGTACACACACACACACAAAGAGGATTGCAGAACATTTCAAGTTATAGGTTGAACTGAGGTAAAAGCAATTTTGAAGCCAGGATAACAAAAGAGAGAAACCTGGTTCTTTGGCTCTGTTCCCTTTCTGCCCTACTGCCACACCGCTACTTCATCAAGCTTTCTAAATCGAACAAAAGACTCTTTTTAAGAAATTTCAAAACCAATGGCAGGGTGAGCTAAAGGTGAGGATGATGGATGGAAATGCGGCTTTGTCTAGATACACTTTTTTAGTTGAGAGAACACCAGAATCCAAGGGCTGTCTTGGGTTTGGGAAGTGAAAAGTGAAGAGCAATGAACGACACAAGCAGCTTTTGCTGCCAAGAATATACATATTCATACAGTCAGTAGGAGCTGAGCTTTTTTCTATTAGAGTTTACCAATACAAAGATAAAAGACTAATACAAATTAAGAAAAAATTAAAAAGTGAAGAAAAAGAAGTGCAAAGATATGTGTGTATGTGTACACACACACACACACACACACATATATAGTCTGTAATTATACTAAAGCAGGCTTTCCAAACCTCCGGCATTCCACTCTGACGACATTGGCAATTAGCCGAGGAAACAGTTGTTAGTTTATTAAACAGTTGTTTTTATATTTATCCCGGTGTTATCAAACAGTTGTTAGTTTATTAAACAGTTGTTTTTATATTTATCCCGGTGTTCAACTATTTTTCTCAACATATATATCTTCCCATTTCATCCCTTATAATAAAAAAAATCAAATTACAAAAACTTATAATTCAGCCCTAATTTGCAAAAGTCTATTAAGACTACATACTGTATATAAAATACATACTGTATTTTAACCTTAATCTAATAAATCCATTTTGTATTCCAATTTATCACTTTCTCTAAAAAAATAAAGGAAATTTTGCTTAAGTAGGAGCTCAGCTTGATTGTGGCAATCCTTATATTTATTTGCCTCATCCTAAAATCTCAACGCGTCGTGCACAAAACAGTGAGAATAACTATGGTTTAATGCAAAATGGCTTTTGAAAGTTTGGTGAGTGGAAACAGTGTATGGAACTGACCAAAGAAGAAGGTAATTGCTGCCAATTCAAATATAAGTTGGATTTCCCCCCCCCCCCTTTCTGCCTCTCTCCATCCCCTTCTTCTGTTTCTCTAGGTATCACAATGGCACACTCCTGAACTGGAAAATGTACAATTACAGCGGAAGCTTAGTGTTACATGATTTGAAAACTCACCAAGCTGGCTTATACCACTGCAAAGCCAGCAATGACCACAGTTCAATCAAATCCTCTGCTGCCCATTTGACAGTAATAAGTAAGTAGCTGCTTTTTTTGTGACAGGACCCTTCTTGCAATATCTGGTTTCAGGATAATGTGGTTTGTTTGAGCTTGGCTCAGTATTGGGTGAACATAGCCCCTGTGGTATATGAATCATAATTTCTTTGATTCCTTAAGGCTGCCCACCCGACTGCAACTGTGGGCAGCTTATAAGGAGCTGAAAGATCATAACAATTTTTGTGTGTTTTGTGCCTTTGAGTTCAGTGTTGAATTTTACAGGATTCCCGTTAAGTTTTCAGACTGAAATCTTTCTCGGTGCTGAGGGCCATCTATATGCACTATTATAGTGATGGCGAACCTTTTAGAGACCGAGTGCCCAAACTGAAACCCAGAACCCACTTATTTATTGCCGGGTGCCAGGTGGGCATGGCCCACTGGGTGGGCGTGGCTGTGGTGGTCATGGCAGAATGGATGGGTGTGGCCAAGATGGCGTGGTCACCTCAATGTTGCTCGTGGGGAGGGACGCCTATGAGGGCCGGGCAGGGTTGGGGGAGATCCAGGGGGTCTCTGGTGGATGGGGCAGTGGGCAGGAGGCTCATCCTGTGGGGTGAGGGGAGGCGAGGCAGGGTAGGGGTGCCATTGCCACGGGGCAAGGTGAGGCAGAGGCCAGGGTGGCTGCTGCCTGACACCATCGGCCCCTGCACACAGAGGCCAGCAAGTGCATGGGGGCCGACAGTGTCCGTCAGCAGCCACAGCCTGCCGCCCCCTCAACTGGCACACTCTGGGGCTCCGCAGCCCACTGCCAGCAGTTCAGAGAAGCTGCCTCTGAGTTCGATGGCCGCCCGACAGTTGAGGAGGCGATGCAGTGGGTCGTGCGGGAAAAGGAGAGCATGCGAGACCAGGAGGGACGGACGGGGGGGGGAGGGAAACCAGCCGTGCTGGGATGCATCCGGCCACGTGGGACCTTGGTGAGTTAGCGGGCGGCTGCTTGAAGAAGGATGGTTGCCATCTCCGGGACATGGCGCGCATGCCCACAGAGAGGGCTCTGAATGCCACCTCTGGCACACGTGCCATAGGTTCGCCACCACTGTACTATTACCTTCTCAGGAACAAAAGATGGACTGAGAAGCCTCTCTGCCACCTACCTCTTGTGCTATCTCAGCAACCCACTTTTGCCTGTTATTCATATCTTCTGCTAAATGTCATGAATCTAATACATCTGTGTCTTTACAGGACACCTAATCTCATCCTCTTTTTCTTGTTTCAGGTCCAGATGTTCCAGCATGTATTTCCCAGCCAGAAGAACACCTCATAAAACTCCCTGATGATTGTTTTCAAGAGGCAACAGGTTCCTACTTTTACAATGTTGGTCATTGCCCCAGTACCCCCTGTGCTGGAAACACTTCAGAGGGCCTGCGGTGCCAAGACGCTACGCAGCATTGTTGTGGAACACAACGCATGGAAGTGAGAGAGATCCATTGCACAGGATACATCCTTCCCGTTAAAGTGATTGCAAAGTGTGGTTGTGCCACCTGTACTCGGCCCAAAGTCCTGGTTCGGGGCAAAGCATCAGCAGCCGACAATGGTGAACCTCTCCGCTTTGGTGAGATCTATCTGGGTGCAGAGAAAATTGGCTTCACTGGGTATAAGGGCACATTCACTATAGAGGTGCCACCCAACACAGAGAGACTGGTGGTCAGGTTTGTGGATCGGATGCAGAAATTTGTAGATGCCATCAAGGTTTTCCCACTTGACCAACGTGGTGGGGCTGTTTACCAGGAAGTCAAATTGATGAGGAAGAAGAAGCCCATTGACCTGGCATCAACGGAGTCTAATACCATTCCATTGGGAGAAGTACCTGGAGAAAATCCTATTGGGGAAATAGTCATCCCACCTGGATCTTTCTTCAGATCTGACGGGCAGGTCTACAATGGGACCGTCAAGGCAAGCGTTACTTTTGTGGACCCACGTGACACTGGTACAGTGAGCACTGCCTCTAGTGACCTGAATTTCATCAATGCCGAAGGGGATCTCTTCCCTCTCAGAACATATGGCATGTTTTCGATGGATTTCTGGGAAGAAGAAACACGCCAGGGCTTAGAAATCGGGCGCGTGGAGATAAAGATGGATACTGACCTCATCAAAATGCTGGAACATACAGAGAAAATGAAACTCTGGTCCCTCAATCCTATAACTGGCCTGTGGGAGGAAGAAGCATCTCTCAAGCTGGCCAAGAGGAAACGCAAGAAAAGGGAAGAGAGAAATTTCTTGATTGGCAACTTGGAAATCCGGGAAAGGCGTCTATTCAATCTGGATGTTGCAGAAAACCGTCGCTGCTTCGTCAAAGTCAGAACATACATCAATGAAAAGTTCTACCCTAGTGAGCAGCTGGAGGGAGTTGTTGTGACTCTTGTCAACCTTGAGCCCAGACCTGGTTATCCTTCTAATCCTCGGGCCTGGGGTCGATTTGATAGTGTGGTGACAGGTCCCAATGGTGCATGTTTGCCTGCTTTCTGTGATAGCGAGAGGGCTGATGCCTACACAGGCTATGTCACAGCAACCATGGGAGGAGAGGAATTGGAGGCTGTTCCTTCAAGCCCAAAGCTCAACCCTCGTGCTATAGGTGTTTCTCAGCCTTACCTCAACAAGCTTGGCTACCAGAGAACTGATCATGAGGACCCTGCCCTAAAGAAGACAGCTTTCAAGATCAACCTTGCCAAACCCAACCAGAACAACATTGACGAGACCAACGGGCCCATTTACGCCTATCGAAATCTGAAGGACTGTGATCAAGCCCCGGTCACAGCCAACCACTTCCGATTTTACCGAGTGGAAGAGGACAAGTATGAATATAATGTTGTGCCTTTTAAAGAGACTGACCTGACCACTTGGACGGGAGACTACCTCTCCTGGTGGCCTAACCCTCAAGAATTCCGTGCCTGCTATATCAAAGTGAAGATTAATGGGCCACATGAGTACATGGTAAGGTCACGAAACGTGGGTGGCAGTCATCCAAGGACTCAGGGACAACTGTATGGCTTAAGGGATTCCCGCAGCATCCGGGACGTTGACATACATAACAGCTCGGCAGCCTGTGTTGAATTCAAATGCAGCGGGATGTTGTTTGACCAAGAAATGGTGGACAGGACTGTAGTATCTATCATCCCACAAGGGAGTTGCCACCGTACTGCGGTCAACAGCTATTTGAGGGAGTATCTAAGCCGTCACCCGCCTGTAATGGAGAATAATGACAACATGGCTTTCACCATGTTGGCACCAGTAGATCCCTTGGGGCACAACTATGGCATCTACACCGTGACTGACCAGAATCCACACCTTGCCAAGGAGATTGCAATTGGGCGCTGCTTTTCTGGCACCTCGGATGGCTTTTCGCGTGAGATGAAGTCCGATCAGGGCACAGCTCTGGCTTTTACCTGTTTTGAAAAGCCAGTCGGGACAAAGAGCTTCTTCCAACGCCTGCTTGAATCCCCAGCCCAGACGCTGACCGAGATGCGCCGTGAGATGGGAGCCAATGAACAACGCCGGGGCCCTTCTCAAGTGGTGGCTTACCCATCTGGATTACGGACACAACGCCGTCCAAGCCGCCGAAGAAGAGTGGGTACTTCTCCGATCCAACAGTGAGCAGCGTGAAGAAACATTTGTTAATCTTTGCGATCCAGACGCCGCTCGGCAGCATCTCAGGATGGGTATCCGAGTGGGCGAGACTGACTGCAGCAGGTTTTATTCCATGACCTTCAGAATACATCTTAAAAAGTACCACACCATAAAGTACATTCTGGCAATCTCCATAATCCAATGTGATAAATCTCCCTTCCAGGTCCCAGCTGCTATGTCCTGAGACTTCTAAACTACTATTATACCACCCGGAGGGGCATTCATAAGGGGTCAAAGTCAAGATGGCTCCCATCCCTGTGCAATCAAAGCCAAGCCCCTTTATGCATATTGTAAAAAGGGTGGCGTTTCAATTGCACACTCCCCATCCAGGCTGACCTCTACGCTATTGTATTCTTTTTTTTTGTTCTAAGGAAAATGGTTTCTCATGTAACATTCCTTTATCCATTCTCTTTTCTGCTCTGCTCATCATTTTTTTCCGGGGTTACAATTTAGCTACAACCTGATTCAGAACTGAAGTACGCGTGACTAGCTCTTTTCAATTTTTCCCCCCTACTACTGGCACACGTCTTTGCCTTCCTTTGCATCACTGCTCAATAGACACCCTTAGATAAAGAGATTTACCACACATGGAGTATCTCTGGCCTTTGCAGTTTAACAATCTTCCTGTCAGTCCCACGTCATCAACACAAAGCGGCAGTAAAACACTATACAAGCAGTCCTTGACTTATGACTGGTTACTTAGTGACTGCTTGAAGTTACAATGGACACTGAAAAAGGGACTTAAGATTCAGATTCAAAATTCTAACATCCAGGGCACCCACCACAATCATGTGACTGCATTTTGGGACCTTAGCAACTGGCTGGCATTTACGGCCATTACCAGCATTCACAAGACCATAATTTACAATTTACAATTTACTTCTAGGATCCTACAAACACCACAATGGGTTCACTTAAAAACCATGGCATTTCCCTATTATTAAACTCAAATGTCTATTTCTCAGAAAATTTCTAAGTTAATCTCAGAACACATGCATTGTTGGGCAATTTCCAAGATTCTTTTTTTGTTGTGTTTTAGTAGTGTGGGTAAACACCCCCCACAAAAAAGATTCTTGTCATATAGCACATACACTGATTTTTCTTAGCCCGAGGGTGTTTGGAAAGTGCACAAAGGATCTACACAGAAAAGTGTTGGAAATTGTCCACTTTTCTGTTCTTTGAGGTTCTTTGTGAACTTTCCAGATAGCCTCATGCTGAAAAAAATCAATGTATGTGCTATATGGCAAGAATCTTTTATGTGTGGTGTTTAACCACATAGCTAAAACACAACAAAAAAACAAAAAAGAATCTTAATATGTTCCATCACATAATACCCAAATTGCTTTTTTTGTAACGTTTTATTAACAACTACATAAATGTGTACCTATAATAGGTAGTATGGATGGGGATGTGGGAAAGTATAATAAAGTATTGAAAAAAACATGCTACAGTACATACCCTTCCTGCTCTGTTGTATCTTCAGATGTTAATAAAACAAAATAAGAGAGGGTTGTTAATAAAATTTCATTTTTGGACCATTTGATTTGGAACCCAAAATTTGGGTCTATGTTTGGATTTGAAGGCAGGAGACAAGGAGAAGAATCTTTTACAATAATGGGATGTTGAACATTGTCTTCATGAGAGGTTCCTGTTTCTCTGCAGCAGGAAGCTATGTTAGATCTCTACGTTATTCATTGTAAAATATATGGTTCTGTTTTATCCATGATTAGTGGACCTGTGTTTAATTTTTTCCCCCCTGATTTTCTCAAGAGGAAACCAAAGGTTATCAAGGAGGACGTGAGACTGGATTGGACACGAGAGGAAGTGGAAATCTTTTAATTCTCTGCTTTCTGGAGTTACAGATAGTCCTCGACTTACACAGCTGCTTGGTGACCATTCAAAGTCACAACAGCATATGAAAAAAGTGACTTATGACTGTTTTTCACACTTATGACCATTGCAGCATCCCCATAGTCACATGATCAAAATTCAGACACTTGGCAACTGACTCATATTTATGACAGTTGCTGTGTCCCGGGGTCATGAGATCATCTTTTGTGACCTTTCTGACAAACAAAGTCAATGGGGAAGCCAGATTCACTTAACTAACATTGCAGTCACTAACAACTGCAATGATTGGGTATGTCTAGTTTAACAAAGAGAAGGACGAGGGGAGACATGATAGCAATGTTCCAATATCTCAGGGGCTGCCCCAAAGAAGAGGGAGCCAAGCTATTTTCCAAAGCGCCTGAAGGCAGGACAAGGAGCAACGGATGGAAGCTAACCAAAGAGAGAAGCAACCTAGAACTAAGGAGAAACTTCCTGACAGTTAGAACAATTAACCAGTGGAACAACCTGCCTCCAGAGGTGGTGAATGCGCCAACACTGGAAGTTTTTAAGAAGAGACTGGACAGCCATTTGTCCGAAATGGTATAGGGTTTCCTGCCTGAGCAGGGGGTTGGACTAGATGACCTCTGAGGTCCCTTCCAACTTTATCATTATTATCATTATCATTATCACTTAACAACCTATGGTAAGAAAGGTAATAAAATGGGACAAAATTGAACAACTGTCTCATTTAGCAACAGAAAAGTTAGGCTCAGTTGTGGTTGTAAGTCCAGGATTACCTGTATACGTCCAGCCATCTTTGGTCCTCTAGACCAGAGGTCCACAACCTTTTGGGCACCAGGGACCGGTTCCATGGAGAGAGGTTTTTCCACGGACCGGAGGGTGCGTGGTTTTGTGTGATTCTTGAATCCCGCAGAGGAGTCTTGCTTGTATGGGCCGATTGCTGGCATGCCGTGGCCCAGACCGGGGGTTGGGAACCCCTGCCCTAGACTGAGCTTTAGGCTTTTCAATCAGTAAAAATTTTGTGAGTGTTTTTTTTTTTTTTAATACTATTCATGGAAAGACATCCCGATAAGAGACTTGCTCTCCTCCAAAAAACCTGTTTAGGCTACATTTGGAGGAAAAAGTAAGCATGGACTGGTTTCAGCTAGACATTTTCCTCCCTGAAAATTTAGCAGAACTGACTCCCCCACCTCGAAACAGAGGAACTTGCCTGCTTGTCCACCTCCACCGGGTGGAAGGAATCGAGCTTTACAAGACACCTCTAGCTCAGAGCCTGCGGTTTGGCATCCTCCATGCCTCCGTTTCTCCATCCTGCTCTGTTTATCCAGGAGCAATAATGAGAAAAGCAGGCCAGGGTGTTAGAGGAAGAAGGCAGAGAATTCCTGGGGTTTGGAAAGCTCTCTAGTTGGCCTCAGCTGCTCTTGCATCTACAATAGCATAAAAGCAAAGAAAGGACCAAAATCAACCACTCACTCCACTCCAGCTTCCCCATTGTTCTTGCCAAAGGCTAACCACTATTACCTGCCTTGACATGTGGCCCAAACCCAATACAAATGTACAAGTTGTTGGCTGCCTCGGGTTGGCTCTCCTTGCTGGCATTCTTTGTTGCCACAAAGGAACAACGGCTCATCCAGATGCCAACTTGCTGGTTTCTCAAGGCCAGGTGGTGTTTGCTAGCTGAGAACAGAGGCTTAAGAGAGAAGGAAAGAGAACACTCACAAATACTGCCCTTTTGTGCAGCACAGGGACCGATATTGCGGTGCTCAGGGGTGCAAAGATGCTTTTGGATACCTCCCTTGGGGTTTGCTGTGCTCTCTGCCCTATCTTTCTTTGTAGGTCGTCCTTGACTTACAACCATTTGTTTAGTTCAAAGATACAGTGGCACTGAAAAAAAGTGATTTACAACTGGTCCTCGCACTTACAACTACCACAGCATCTCCATAGTCACATGATAAACATTTGGATGCTTGGCAACTGCCATGTATGAATAGAATAGAATAGAATAGAATAGAATAGAATAGAATAGAATAGAATAGAATAGAATAACGGAATGGGAATAGAATAGAATAGAATAGAATAGAATAGAATAGAATAGAATAGAATAGAATAGAATAGAATAGAATAATGGAATGGGAATAGAATAGAATAGAATAGAATAGAATAGAATAGAATAGAATAGAATAGAATAGAATAGAATAGAATAGAATAATGGAATGGGAATAGAATAGAATAGAATAGAATAGAATAGAATAGAATAGAATAGAATAGAATAATGGAATGGGAATAGAATAGAATAGAATAGAATAGAATAGAATAGAATAGAATAATGGAATGGGAATAGAATAGAATAGAATAGAATAGAATAGGAGAGTTGGAAGGGACCTTGTTAGGTCATCTAGTCCAACTGCCAGCCAAGTAGGAGACTCTACACCATTTCTGACAGATGGCTGTCCAGTCTCTTCTTAAAAACTTCCAGTGTTGGAGCATTCACCGCTTCTGGAGGCAGGTTGTTCCATTGGTTAATTGTTCTAACTGTTAGGAAGTTTCTCCTTAGTTCTAGGTTGCTTCTCTCCTTGATCAGTTTCCATCCATTGCTTCTCGTCCTGCCTTCAGGCGCTTTGGAGAATAGCTTGAGTCCCTCTTCTTTGTGGCAGCCCCTGAGATATTGGAACACTGCTATCATGTCCCCCCTCGTCCTTCTTTTCATTAAACTAGACATACCCAATTCCATCAACCTTTCCTTATATGTTTTAGCCTCCAGTCCACTAATCATCTTTGTTGCTCTTCTCTGTACTCTTTCTAGAGTCTCAGCATCTTTTTTACATCGTGGTGACCAAAACTGGATGCAGTATTCCAAGTGTGGCCTTACTAAGGCATTGTAAAGTGGTATTAATACTTCACGTGATCTTGATTCTATCCCTCTGTTAATGCAGCCCAGCACTGTGTTGGCTTTTTTGACAGCTGCAGCACACTGCTGGCTCATATTTAAGTGATTGTCCATTAGGACTCCGAGATCCCTCTCACAGTTACTACTATTGAGCAAGGTACCCCCTATACTATACCTATACATTTGGTTTTTCTTGCCTAAATGTAGAACCTTACTTTTTTCACCACTG